AACAACAAGCTACATATACAACTTTAGTTATTATCTAATTTAAGTAGTCTGCTATATAGATAATTAACTATCTGTTAGTTCTATACTATGCTACTATACTTGTAACCTATCTGTGAGTTACCTATTTAAACACTCTAATTATTAACTCTTCCCTATCTCAAACTAATATTACTACTATATCTGATTGCTTAAGCCAGTTGACTTATATATAGATCTATTTATTATATAGCTTAGATCTTCTTAGGATATGTATTGCTCAATATATTATGAGCATACGGAGCTCTAGTTAACCTTAGAAGTAATTCCTACTAGAGTAGTTATATATTTATTTTACAAATTTAGCTAGCTTAGACTCTTGTCAATATTCATACAAACTCAGTTTCTGCTATAGCTCTCTACTAGATATAGTCATCCAAATTCTAGTAGATATTTCATGAAATAGTTTCTCTTAATCTAGTTAGCTACTAAGCCAAGTTGGTATTGCTATTTGTAGCTAGCACCAGGCTGTAGATTTATAACAGTTTTACTCATATCTATTAATCTTATATTCTTTGTACTCAGGTTTTTTTCACTAAATTAAGTATTAATTAGCTTGACTATTGAAATCTGTACTACTTTATCAAACTTAGAATTTCTACTATACAGATTCTCTGCTTGTAGATTCTATCAAGATTTATTCATACAACATAATTTAAATATTGTATTATACTTCTAATATCTAATTGATATTAGTGCAATATAATTTATAGTGTTGTAACCTCCAAAAATAAATAGAGTTTACTATAAGTTAGGTACAAAGGTCTAGGTAATTATTCAAGTTTATTGATAGTAGAATTTGAACTTCAGACTTCTTGTATGATAGTTAGACAACCTAACCACTACACTAAGATTGCTAGACCTAATTTTTTTTTATATTAAAGCTACCTTTTTAACTAATTAGATTTATTTTTATTTTTTTTACCTTTAGTAGTTATACTAATACTTTATTAAACTTCTTATTACTATATAGATTTCAAAGAATTTAACTAATTTTCCAAGTTTAGTATTACTCATTTCTTATATAGAGTCTAAGTATGACCTGTTATACTATTTATATTAGAAATAGACTACTTCATCTGACTGCTACTCTATAATAGGATATTGCTAATCTGATAATATCTTTTTATAGAAAGCAAAAAACAAAAAAAATTTTAAGTATATAAAAAAAAAGAAGATATAAGGATAAATGATAAAAAATACAGATCAAGAAATAAAAAAATAAAGAGATAAAAAAAGAAAAAGAATGTAAAATTTGTATTTTAAGCACATTCAACTCTTTCTGATGATCTTTTTTTCTAAAAAATTCAAAAAAGCAAAAAACAAAAATTCTGTTGGAGACGATGAAGAAGACTCTTTTACAACAACAATTTTTACAAAGGTTAACTAAGTTTCTACTTCTCCTTAGGGACTCTTTTGTATATTTGGTATGCAAGCTAGAAGTGATATTATATAAGATAACTAGCAGAAGGTGGAGCCTTTATATTGTTATCAAATGAACTTTAGCATATTTTCTTAATTATTTATTATTATATTATATTTGATATTTAGATTTATATATTAGCATTTCCTTCGAATTTTTAATAGCTAAAAATTGATTTAGGTTATACCATTCAATGTAGCTCGATTAGACCTTCAAAATGAGCTATAAATTATATCTGTAACACATGTAGTTCTTGAGTTACCTTGGAATTTACATTGTGAGTAACATCTATGTTTGATGATGTTTAATGACATTTGATGATGTTTAACTACGTTTGATGATGTTTAACTACGATTGATAATATTTAACTATGTTTGATGATGTTTAACTATATTTGAGGATGTTTAGGAAAAAGATATATAAACTCTAGCTTTTCTCTTCTCTTGTAAAATAGTTCTGTATATAGTTCTGTATATAGTTCTAATAGTTCTGTATAAAAGTTCTAATAGTTCTTTAGTTAGTTCTTTACAGTTCTCTAATAAAGTTCTCTATTTATTCTTTAATAAAGTATATCTTAGCCTTAACAAAAATACTTCTTTTAAATGAACTGCCACTGTGATGCAATATTCCACTTTGACACCGTTGAGAGTTTCTCTTCCGTGTTTTATGTTACTTGTGATGTATTGAGAAGGCTATGCCACTTGTAACACTACAATACCTACTAAGTTAAATTATTCTTTATTATAATAATCTGTTAACCATTCTAACTTTAACATATCTCCTTTTATTCCATTAATATTATGCATTCTAAATTTAACTTTTCTCTTCCACGAATACTTCATCTCTTTATCTTTACTTCTCTTTATCTCTTCTTCTTGCTTCTTTGCTTTTCTATTAACACTTTAGTTTAGTATATTATATGTCCTTTCTGTATACTTAAGTTTTCCTTCATAAGTTATACAGATATCCTGTAGTTGGATCTTGGCTACTTTCAGAAGTGATTAGGAGTATTTTGCTTCTACTTACTTACTTTTTCCTCTAACCCATAAATAAGTTGAACTATGTATACAATTGATATGTTATCATCTTCTTGGCTTTCCATGTTGCTTATATGTCTATTGCTCTTTTTAGTTTTTCTCTTCTTGTTAGCTTCTTCTCCTTCTTTTTTTTTTAAGCTTTCTTTCTTATTATACTATTCTCTCTTCTCATGACTGTTGGCTATATCTTCTTTTTTATTTATATCAATTTGTTTATATTACTTGCTTCTCCATTCTTGCTTCAAGTTGATCCTCTTTTGCCTTGCTCTATTGTGTGATATTTCATTAGCATTAGCCTCTATATTTTTTTAAGAGAGTCTTGTGTCATAATATCACATACTATATCTTCTTGCTTGCTCTAACTCTTCTTTACTTTTAAAAGAAACTACAGCAAATTCTTTATTATTTCTATTTGTGTTTTTGAAGATATGTACTGTTTTTGCTCCTGTATACTTAATTTGTTTAAACAGAAGTACTTCATTAGCTTCTCTTAGGATATTATATAGTTTTGTTGTGTATTGTTTTTGACTTTTAAAAACTTCTTTACTATTTAGTTCTAGTATGATACAGACTAGTACATTGTTTAATAACGGTATAGCTCAGACTTCTTTTTCTTGGTTATTTATTCTCAATTCTTCGAATATGATTTCTGCTCTCATTTTCATACGGCCTTTTTGAATAATCTCAATATTTGCAACTCTTCCTATGTGCATTACTGCTCTGAATACTTGAGTTCTCGAAATATATAATAGAATATCCCACATTGTTATTGCCTTTTCTTCTCTGCTTGTACTTGCTTTAGGTCCTTTTTAGTGCAAATCTCTTTTCTTTGAGCTTTCTGAATCTTTGTTCTCCTCATAGTATTGCTTTCTCTTTTCCTTTAGAATACTTCTCTTTTTATTCTCTTCATTTTCTAGATATCTTGTATTATTTTCTTTCTTTTCTACTTTTATGATGATATTTCTTGCTTATACTTTTCCTTCTCTCTCTATTTTGTCTTCTTCATATACCATCTTTCCTTTTTCTTTGTTTTTAACCTGGTTTATTTGAATCTTTGCTTGTTCTTCTCTTAGTTCACATCTTTTTCTCTCAATTTCTTCTAGTTCTATTTTTGTTTGCTTTTCTCTTTCTTCTTTGTTTATATTTTGGCTTTCTACTCTTCTTATCTCTTTTTGCTTATTAGCATTCATTTTATTTGCTTTTTTTATTGATACTTTCTCTAGAATTAGATTAAGTTACTCATACTCTTTTTTATTGCTCTCGAATTTAGCTTTTGCTTCTTTATAACCTCTTTTGCAATTGAAGTGTAAGATACACTATAAATTTCCTTTTGCAAATCTTTTATTAATCTCTTTTAAATACTTGGTTCCTCTTAATGACTATCTAATACACTTTTCTCTTTGCTCTGTGTTATCATCTAATATATTAATTGCTGCTACTTTTGCTTTATATGTGTCTTCTTCTTTCTATGTATCTTTTTTGGATGCCCATATATTTTAATCAAGTGATAAGTTACTATATCGTGCCTTGAAGTATTCTTCGAGTTGATCAAACTTTTTCTTGACTATATTATTTCTTGACTTGATTTCTAGACTTTCATTAATTATTCTAATATCTTCTATTTTTTCCTCTTCAGTTTCATTATTCTCATCTTGTTCTTCGATTCTGCTTACTTTCATCTCTATCTCAGCAACTGTATCTTCTTTTTGTTCGTACTTCTCTATACTTGTTATTGGTTTTATTTGTATTTTTACTTCTATGTTACTTATGCTCTTTTCTTCTATAACTAACTCTTCTTGTTTATCTTTTTGTGTTATTATTTCTTTTACTTTATCTAGGCTCTCAAGTGTAGTAATTCTTTTCATCACTTCTCTCTATTGCATTACTACTGTGACTATTTCTTTATTAATTCTCAATGCTAATACAACTGCTTTATTGAAGAACTCCTCTATTTTTTCTGCTTCGCTACTTCCCTCTTGGAATAACTCTTTTCTGTATTTTTCTATGAACTTTTTAGTCACTACCTTAGAATTTTCTTTGTTCTATATATTAGATTTACTTTACTCTTAGCTTTATTTAAATCTCTTCTATCTAATATTTTACTCAGTTTTTCTCTTTCTTGTTCTTATAAGTAACTTTGTCTTTTATAAAAACTTGTATTATATTACTAAGTAAAAGTTTTCAACATATAATTTTAATATAATAAACAATCTAACTCTAATATAAGAAATAGCTAAAACTAGGTGTATTTATATATTTTTGATTATTTAATTAAAATTAGAGTAAAGGTTAGTTAGAGATTAGAGTTAGAACATATTTTATAAGTAAAATTGTCTTTTCAACATTTTTTATTAATGCTCCAAGACAGGTTTATATACTCATTTCTTGTATTTTTAATGGTTTTCACTTTTTTTTTTTTGTTTTTGTCTCATCAGGCTGATTTGAGAAAATTATATTATACAATTTGATTAGCTATTAGTTATATAAATATATCTGACTTTAGACAACTCTCTAATATAGATTTTATTCTAACTCTAAAATTAAAGAAAAAATAACTTATTTATTAAAAAATAATTAAACAGAAATATATACTAATGAATTTAGATACTCTTTTCACTAATTATCAAAACCAATACTGGAGCAAAAAACTTTTTTTACAAAACAAGTACTAAACTTAAAGAAACCTAATAAAATATTAGTTCGAAACAGAAGCATATGATATATAGTTCTATAAGACCTTTAAGACAATTAGAGCAGAAAGCTAAAGCAGACAGTTCTAATATTTTAGCTGAAAGTTTGCCTTATAGAGTATTAAAGTTAAATAGGAAAAGCTACAGAAGTTTGAAGTTTAGAGATAAAAGAAGAGACATACTATAGTATTTGTATTAGGATAAATACTTTTATATTCACTTACTCCCACTTGGTTTTTTGTACTTGTAAATTACCTTTGATTCTTTAGATTTTTATTTTTTCTTATTTGTAAGGATTCAGCTTACTTCTAAAAAAGAATCAACAATATTATATTCAAATTAGTAAAAACTATATATTTACAAACAATCTAAAAGTAAACAATAATATATATAATTAAGTAAGCATGGTTAGTAACAAATTTAAACACTTCCTAGTAGCAGAATAGAGATTAATAATTTAGAGATATAAAGTATATTGTAGTATCAGTACTTTATACAATTTTTACAAAA